CTGGAAACGGCAATACGTCAATAATGTATTGATTAGTTAATTTATATTCGAACTTAAGGGCCCCAACAGTTATGTATTGATAAATACAATTAATGTGTAACATCATTACATTGTTTCTTAATTAAATCTTTAAAGCAATAGTTTAACCAATAACCATTTTGATAAATCATAAATAATAATAATAATAATAATAAAAATGATAATAATAATAATAATAATAATAATAATAATAATAATAATAAAAATGATAATAATAATAATAATAATAATAATAATAATAATAATAATAACAATAATAATAATAATAATAATAATAATAATAATAATAATAATAATAATAATAAAAATGATAATAATAATAATAATAATAATAATAATAATAATAATAATAATAATAATAATAATAATAACAATAATAATAATAATAATAATAATAATAATAATAATAATAATAATAATAATAATAATAATAAATAATAATAATAATAATAATAATAATATAAGTTAACCCGATGAGGCACTCAAAAATTATAGCACGAAAATCAGAATATCAATTACGTAAGTTTATTTCATAAAAAAATAAACTAGGACAAATACAACCAAAATAAACCTAAACGTTTTTTCTAAGTAATTTACGGTGTATAAGTATGTTTACCTGGAGTTTACCTGGAGAGAGTTCCGGGGGTCAACGCCCCCGCGGCCCGGTCAGTGACCAGGCCTCCTGGTGGATCAGAGCCTGATCAACAAGTGAACATTACATTGCTTCTACCAAGTATAACCCAACAAAATCAAACACTGTTATTCATTGCTGAAAAAAACAGTTATCATCTAGTTATTAAGTACAAACCAATTAGATTAGAAAAATTAGCATATTAAACTTAACACGGCATAAAACAAAGGCAAACCATTTATTGTTTCATTATGGAAAACACATCGTAACTAAAATATTAACAGTCGACGAAAAGAGTAATTCTCCAATTAGTGCCTTGACTTCAACAAAATAATCACTTACACAGTATAAAGCTAAGAAATTTTTCATCCATTTCATAAGAAGAATCAGCCACAATAGACTGATGCTGTCCACAACTAATTTATCATGGGAAATGGGCTCAAAAACTTTATTTATATACAAGCATACATATACTCATCTAGTAAACATTTGCACATGCACATATGCAAAAAGACCATAATTCGTTCTCCCGTCTTGGCTACCCTTCCCAATTCATAGACTCTGCCCTCTCACGTGCTAAACGTAATTTCTTCTCTCCCAAACTCTCTACTCCTGGGAACTCTTCTGTCCTCTGCCTTCCCTACATTTCCGGTTTTTCTAATCTCAACAATTCTCTCCGTTCCTTAGACATCATACTTACTTTCCGCCAGGCTAACACTCTTCGCACTAATCTCGTTCATACCTCTCCTCCCTCTACAGATGTTCCTGGTGTCTACTCTATTTCTTGTTCCTCCTGTCCTCTTCAATACTTCGGAGAAACTGGTCGATCTCTTTCTGACAGACTTAGGGAGCACAAAAATAGTGTTAGGCTTGCCGACACCAACAATGCTCTGCTCTGTCACGTCAGAGATCACAGCCATCCTATTGACTGGTCTTCTGCTAAAACTGTCTTCCCTACTTCCAACTTTAACAGTCGACGTCTGGTTGAATCCTTTCTAATATACAACTTTCCTTGTATGAATCTTAGCCCTGGCTTCGTCTCTGTAGATGCCTTCCTCTCCCACTACATTGTAAAATGCTCCAAACTTCAGAACACCTGTGACTAAACCTGATTCCTCCTTTTTTCTTCTTCTCCCTCTCCCCCTTTCCTCTCTCCATTTTCTCTTCTAGGTTGTCTTTCTTCTGCCTTGTGCTTCAGTTCCTTCATTATTTATTTTCTTATCCTCCCCCTCCTCTGTGCGCTTGCACTCCCTCTGTGGGCACCCAGCTCCCTCGCAGTGCTCCCCTTTCTTAGTATTTGACCGGCTCCTTCTTTCTTCCTCACCACTACTTCCTTCCACATCTGCACTACTACCACCGCTACTACTACTACTACTACTACTACTACTACTACTACTACTACTACTACTACTACTACTACTACTACTACTACTGCTACTACTACTACTACTACTATTACTACCACTACTACTTCCTGCCTATATATACCCGTCCTGCTCTACTTCTCGTTAGTGTGACTTTGTACATAGTCCAAGTCGGTCCGAAACGCGTCGTAAGCTCCTTTCTTCTATATGCGGGTTATTTGTGTATAGAACACTCTTGATGAACCTAAAGAGTCATAATACGTTTTCCTCGATATCTCAGAAGTTATTGTGGCCCATTGTCTCAGGGTGGCCCGTGGCCTGGTAGGCAATGCTCTAGCTTCACAGGGTGGAAACATTAGGTGTTTCCTTACATATGTTGTCCTGTTCACCTAACAAGCCAGTAGGTACCTGGGTATTAGTCCACTGGACCCTAATGTAAATATGACAGTCCTCGATGATGCGCAGCCTCTCTTGGATTATCAAGGGTGGTTAACACTCTTGGGTTATCCAGGGAGGTTAACACTCCTGGCTTATCCAGGGAGGTTAACACTCTTGGCTTATCCAGGGTGGTTAACAATCTTGCGTTATCCAGGGTGGCTAACACTCCTGGCTTATCCAGGGTGGTTAACAGTCTTGGGTTATTCAGGGTGGTTAACACTCTTGACTTATCCAGGGCGGTTAACACCCTTGGGTTATCCAGGGTAGTTAACACACTTGGGTTATTCAGGGTGGTTAACACTCTCGGCTTATCCAGGGTGGTTAACACTCTTGGGTTATCCAGAGAGGTTAACGCCCTTAGGGTTATCCAGGGTGGTTAACACCCTTGGGTGATCCAGGGTCGTTAACGCTCTTGGGTTATCCAGGGTGGTTAACACTCTTGGGTTATCCAAGGTGGTTAACACCCTTGGCTTATCCAAGGTGGTTAAAACTCTTGGCTTATCCAGTGTAGTTAACAATCTTGGGTTATCCAGGGTGGTTAACACTCTTGGTTTATCCAGGGTGGCTAACACCCTTGGGTTATCCAAAATGGTTAACACTCTTGGGTTATCCAGAGTGGTTAACAATCTTGGCTTATCCAGGGTGGTTCACAATCTTGGGTTATCCAGGGTGGTTAACACTCTTGTGTTATTCAGGGTGGTTAACACTATTGGGTTATCCAGGGTGGTTAACACTCTTGGTTTATCCAGGGTGGCTAACAATCTAGGGTTATCCAGGTTGTTTAACACTCTTGGGTTATCCGGGGTGGTTAACACCCTTGGGTTATCCAAAATGGTTAACACTCTTGGGTTATCCAGAGTGGTTAACAATCTTGGCTTATCCAGGGTGGTTCACAATCTTGGGTTATCCAGGGTGGTTAACACTCTTGTGTTATTCAGGGTGGTTAACACTATTGGGTTATCCAGGGTGGTTAACACTCTTGGTTTATCCAGGGTGGCTAACAATCTAGGGTTATCCAGGTTGTTTAACACTCTTGGGTTATCCGGGGTGGTTAACACCCTTGGGTTATCCAAAATGGTTAACACTCTTGGGTTATCCAGTGTGGTTAACAATCTTGGCTTATCCAGGGTAGTTCAAAATCTTGGGTTATCCAGGGTGGTTAACAATCTTGTGTTATTCAGGGTGGTAAACACTATTGGGTTATACAGGGTGGTTAACACTCCTGGCTTATCCAGGGTGGTTAACACTCTTGGCTTATCCGGGGTGGTTAATATACTTGGGTTATCCAGGGTGGTTAGCACCCTTGGGTTATCCAGGGTGGCTAACACTCTTGGCTTATCCATTGTGGTTAACAAACTTTGGTTATCCAGGGTGGTTAACACCCTTGAGTTGTCCAGGGTGGTTAATCTTGGGTTATCCAGGGTGGTTAACACCCTTGGGTTATCCAGGGTGGCTAACACTCTTGGCTTATCCATTGTGGTTAACAAACTTTGGTTATCCAGGGTGGTTAACACGCTTGAGTTATCCAGGGTGGTTAATCTTGGGTTATCCAGGGTGGTTAACACTCTTGACTTATCCACGGTGGTTAACACCCTTGGATTATCCATGGAGGATAACACTCTTGGGTTATTCAGAGTGGTTAACACTCTTGGCTTATCCAGGGATTTTAACACTCTTGGGTTATCCAGGGAGGTTAACACCCTTGGGTTATCCAGGGTGCTTAACACTCTTGGCTTATCCAGGGTAGTTAACAATCTTGGGTTATCCAGGGCGGTTAACACTCTTGGTTTATCCAGGGTGGTTAACAATCTAGGGTTATCCAGGTTGTTTAACACTCTTGGGTTATCCAGGGTGGTTAACACTCTTCGATTATCAAAGGTGGTTAACACTCTTGGGTTATCCAGAGTGCTTAACAATCTTGGCTTATCCAGGGTGGTTAACACTATTGGGTTATCCAGGGTGGTTAGCACTATTGGGTTATCCAGGGTGGTTAACACCCTTGGGTTATCCTGGGTGGTTAACAGCCTTGGGTTATCCAGGGTGGTTAACACTCTTGGGTTACCCAGGGTGGTTAACAATCTTGGGTTATCTAGGGTGGTTAACACTGTTGTGTTATCCAGTGTGGTTAACACCCTTGGGTTATCCAGGGTGGTTAACACTCTTGGGTTATGAGGTAAGACACATATGCAACAGTTAGGTATCATTATTTCGAAACGTTTCGCCTACACAGTAGGCTTCTTCAGTCGAGTACAGAAAAGTTGATAGAAGCAGAAGATACTTGAAGACGATGTAATCAGTCCATCACCCTTAAAGTTTTGAGGTGGTCAGTCCCTCAGTCTGGAGAAGAGCATTGTTCCGTTGTCTGAAACAATATGAAGTTGAAGTGACAGGATGGAGCCTTTATCGTCTTCAAGTATCTTCTGCTTCTATCAACTTTTCTGTACTCGACTGAAGAAGCCTACTGTGTAGGCGAAACGTTTCGAAATAAAGATACCTAACTGTTGCATATGTGTCTTACCTAACAATCT